ACTCTTCTTGTTGAGTCCTGCTACACTGTGCTATATTTCACAGACTAATAGGACACAGCACATCAGTACTAAACATTAAAAAAAAGTTAAACAACTCTGCCTAAAGGCAATATTACTGAAGTTAGCAAAAGTACCACATTACTGTTGGATTTTTGTTTAATTTTCTTTCACATTTTGACAGCAGAAGCATGCGAAAATTTTAATGATTCATGTGGGACTGAATCTTGTTTACAAACCATGCATTCAGCCTAGTTTATATCCTGTGAGACTACTATTCCACTTTCTTTTGACTGTCACAGTTGTGTTTCTGTGCATGAAATCGAGTGCCTAAGGGCATAACATTGAAATGGAAAATGCTCTTTGGCTCTTTGAGGGAGGATTCAGATATATTCTCATCTCTCCGTTTTATACACCATTTGTGCACCTCTGGAAAATGATCATCCAGGGGCCCAGCATTACCCCAGTGGGGCAGGGGGAGAGAATTTAACCCTCTGCTGTCCCCTGCTCCCTTTTGGCGTCCTCACCGCATCCCCATGGCTCAGGAGAAAGGCTGCTATGAGGGTGGTTCTCCTTTGGAGAAGCTCTTAGGGGGCACATCCAGCTACATCTGTGCGTGATCAGGTGGGAGCCATGTTGAGCATAAAGGGTTGGTGCCCCAGCCTGGATCAGAACCCCAATAGCTGCTGTTTAGTAAGCAAGGATCAAGCACGTAAGGGTGGATTGATGGTCTGGAGAAAGAGGAAATTACTAGGGGAAGGGATGGGACCTTAGAAGGCTGAGTTGGGAGCCCAGGAGGAAAAATTTTCTCCCTGCGCCCAAAACTGAGGCTTTGCTTTCCTGTCCTAAAGCTTTTGATATGTCCATATGGAGTTACTATATGCGTAAACGATTTCTTTTGATCATACTTGTGAATAACAAATCCGACATTTAAGCATAAGATTCTATTGTGGAGATATAATTAAACTTCGTTATATATTTATTAATTTCCATGGTTTTCCTTATGCTTTTCTTGTCTGTGCAGGGGGAGGTTGTTGCTTAGAACACAGTCGGCTGGCTCCAGGGTTTTCCTTCCAGGAATGGGAGGCGTGCTTTTGGCAGAGCAAACTAGAGTCTTCCCACTGGAGGACGGTGGGGTTGGGGTGGGGGGTGGTTTTGCTGATCTGTCCCTGCCTGTGCAGCCACCAAGCACATCTCAGTCTGTTCTGGAATCCCTCATCCCCTAGAGCAGACTTTCGGGAGCAGCTGGGTGTGAGGGGAAGAAGAGGACGCAACAAAAATGGCTCTCCCTTTTCTGCCAGTAGGCGCATACCGGTGTCAGAGTCCCACTCCTCACAATGCTGTTTCCAAACTCTTATAGTCTTTTTGTTTCTGCAGTTATTGACCTTAATATTTTCTGCATTGGCACATTCACAAATTTAATTAGAGAATGATGGGGGAAATATATGCATATTTACATATTTAGCGTGTTCCATTATGAATAACCTAAATGCAGAAGTGACAGTTTGATCCTATTTATTTATTAGATTTATCTCTCTCTCCCCCCGCCCCTTTTAAGGACTCAAGGCAGCTTACATCATTCCTCCCTCCTGCTCTCAGTCTTATCCCCACAAAAAACACCCTGTGAGGTAGGCTGAGCTGAGAGTCTGGGACTGGACCAAAGCCATGAAGCTGGTTCCATGGCTGAGTAGGGACCAGAACCTAGAATGCCTGAGTCCCAGACCTGAGCTGTTAACCACTGCACCACAGTGGCTTCTGTTCATTTAGTGAACTTCCTTTGGTGACACCCACCTGATCAACAGAGATGGGAATTGCTACCAGCAAGCATTTTCTCATTGGACATACACTGTAAAACCCAAATGGTACATTCATCATTCTCCTCCAATGTTTTTCTCTTGCTTTGAAGGAATCAACTAAAAATGTCTTTGTGACAAAACAGTGAATCCCTGTGATGTGCCAAAATAGTTGGTTATTCAGTGATCCTATGTACTTTTTTAAAAAGGGTTATTTGGCTGAGTATCAGCAAGTGACTTCAATGGAGAAGTGGGAAAATTCTTCGTCAGATTTTCCAAACTTTAACTTTCAAGTAGTCTGAGCCCAGGCTACTTCCATGAACTATATTTAAAAAGATAAACAAAGGAAAGCCCCATCAAAAATACAACCTTTACCCCCACAAACCTACTAAAAACTCTCCAGAATCATCTATGCTGATGTGATGCCCATACAAATGTATTAAATTTGACAATACAGATGTATTCTGCATTGAGCAGTATCCAGTGCTGTCCTTCTGCAGGCTCAAAGATCATCCATGCACCTCCACCAAACCTTTCCCTTGTGCAGTACACTTGCACAAATATCACTTTAGCTGGATTCTTATTTTGGACACAGAACGTCAGTGTCTCCTGCTCCTAAATCCCCTTGAGACTGACCATCCTTTGTGCCTCACGTGGCTTCCTTAGAAATTGAGAAGAGCCTGCAGTAATGAACACGTGTGTGTTTGGTTCTAGCCGTGTTTGCTGCTGCAAAGGGTTTGTGAGGTGGGGTTTTGGCCTCACACGCTGAGCCTGTAAAATTTTTATGCCTGGAAGTGATGTTGCTTTGGAGCTGACATCGTTGGTTCTTCGAGGCTGCAACTATAAATCTCTTATCTGGTGCATCTCTAAATAAAGAGACTTTTATGAAGACAAAACAAAGTCTCCAGCCATCTCGCCTCCAAAAGGAATGAAGTCTGTTCAGGTTTCAGTAAAACCTCCCATCAGCCAGAAAGGAGGACCGATGTATTATAGCTGCTCACTTACATGTGCAAATTCCAACAGGGTACTTTAAGTTAGGTGTATCCAAACAAGCTCTTTTGTTGTATTTAATCTCTGTTGTGAAGCTCACTGTTGCTGTAAGTGCTCACACATGCATTTCTGCTTTCCTAGAATTAAGGGGCACCTCCATGCAAGGTGCAGGACTTCTTTTCTCCAATTTGCGGCCCTCCCATGTGTTCCCATGGCTCCTTCAGTCTTTTTTCTTACTAGAGAACATAAGAAAGGAACGACAAAGTAATGCATTTTAATGCTTGGCACTAGGAGCCCTCCATCTGGAGGCACCCTAGCAAATTTTGGGATATTTTTCCTTTTCTGATAAGAGGCTGAATTTGTAATTTCACGCCAGCACTGATGAGAAAATACCAACTCTCCAGGCAATAACCACTTTCGTCAAACAACATCTGCAGATTCTCTGCTCATTGCACTGGAAAAGCCTTTCCAAGGACCAGAGATCCTGCTGAGGAGATTGAGCTGTGGTGTGAGGGGGTTTGTGGGAAACAGGAAAAGATCACCAAAGCTTGGGTGGAGAAACATCTTCCATGATCAGAACTCTCGTTCATGCAAGACTCCTCTGCCTAGTTTTTGGAAATCTATACTTTTTGCACCGCAACTCGGACCACATAGCAAAATCTTCCCCTGACCCCAAGGAAAGGTCTTTCCTGGGGCTGCCAGAAGAAGAGGAGGGGTAGAAACTCAGTCTTCTGCTCACCCCCTCTGTCAGCATTTCTCTGCACCCAGTCCATAGTATGTTGCCCTAGCATCTGTTATATTTACATTTTTATGGCAATGAATGATGGCCTGAATTCCAGTGCTGCAGAGCTCAGACTGGAAGGAAGGGCCTGCCTTGAAAGCAGAGATGTCAAAGAAATCTTCAAATATTGTAAAATAAATGAGATGCATTCCTATGAGTCTGACCTGTAGAATCAGCATTGAATTAAAAAAAAAAAACTTTTTTGGGGTGGGGATTTGCATGATGTTGTTAATTGACTGATTACATTTTAATACAGCCCAATAGCTGACATTCTGGGGGCTATTGGGAGCTTCACATTGGTGCAAATGCACACTTGTACCAAAAGTGAAATTGTCACAGAAAGCACCCAGTTTCATCAAAAAGCAGATGCTGGAATGAAAGATTCCTATATGATGAAAAGATTGAACAAGATCAGTCCCAGGACAGAGCCCTGGAGGACCCCACTTGTCACTGGCCGCCTTCCCGATGATTCCCCACTAACAGTTACCCTCTGCTTTAGGTCTGTCATCCATGCCCTAATCCATCGGACAGTGCTTTGGTCTATCCCAAAACTCCTCAGTTTCTCAACCAGGATGTCATGCAGCACTTTGTCGAAGGCCTTGCTGAAATCCAAGTAAACCACATCCACCGTGTCCCCTGCATCTAGCCACCTTGAAACCTTGTCATAGAATTCCACAAGGTCCGTCTGACAAGACCTGTTTTTGTGGAAGCCATGTTGTGTGGCTGCCAACCTCCCTTCCTTATCTAGGGTTACTAGATCTCACACTATTACGAGCCTTTCCACTGTCTTTCCTAGAATGGACATAAGGCCAACTGGTTGGATGGGGAAATGGCAGAAAAACTGATGTAAGGGGATTTAGCTGCCTCTTCTAGACCACCATGGTCCTGATGTGAATATTGAGAACCTATGCCTACATGATAGCAAACCATAGCTATACACTAATTAATTGGTGTACCATGTATTTTGGCTGTGACAATCAAAGAATATGAGTTTGGTGGTGGTGGCAGGGTGAGATATGTTACCTCTGAAGAAGAGTAGGAATCACCAAGGGATGCGGTGGCACAGTGGGTTAAACCACTGAGCTGCTGGGCTGGTTAATTGAAAGGTCGACAGTTCAAATCCGCAGGCAGGGTGAGCTCCCATACTCTGTCCCAGCTCCTGCCAAACTTGCAGTTTGAAAGCATGTAAGTGCAAGTAGATAAAAAGGTACCACTTTGGCGGGAAGGTAACAGTGTTCCGTGCACTTTGGTGTTTAGTCATGCTTCCAACATGGCCACGGAAACTCTCTGTGGACACACGCTGGCTCCCTCGGCTAGGAAACGGAGATGAGCACCTCCCCCTAGAGTCAGGCATGACTGGACTTTAATGTCATGGGGAAACCTTTACTTTTACCTTTAGGAATCACCAGGAGCCTTTTAGGGATCACAAAGCAATGATATTTTCTGACATTTTATTAATTGAATGAATCCAAGAAGAAGATAGATATTCATTCATTTGAAGTAACTTCCATCAATATTAACATTCACACATTTCAATAGATATCAAAAGTGAGGTGATAGCCTTTACAAAAGTTTCTTTTTCTGACTCCTTGACATATTTTCAGTAAGTGACTGAAAAGGTGGTTTTAAAAGAGAACCAAAGTGCCTTAAATATCCCAGTCTTGCAAAATGTTTCTTCTCTAATTATAGAACATTACACCATCCATTGAATACCAATGGCCTAGTGCGCAAGGTTGAAACGATGGATGGTCCTGGGATTCAAAGCTACTAAGTGCACCCTGGTCACCTGGCTGCAATGGCAGTAGCTGACATACAGTATGTGTCTGAATAAGCCATCACAACGCCTCCCCTTATCAATGGATACCCATTCAAAGACAACGTTTTTTTCATAGAGAAAATTCCAATGCACATCTGAAAGTCCACTATGGACCAAAGAGGACATAGTGTCGAGCAGATTAGAAAACCTAAAGGGGGGAGTCTCTTCCAGAGAAGCACTGTGTGTGATAATACAGGGCCCCAAAACTAATTGAGTCCGTGGAGCTTGCTGCTGTTTCCCCGAACAGGATGGCTGGAGGGATCATGTGATCAAAAAGGGAATAAGGAAGCCTCCAAATGAGCATGTGTTACAGTGAAGGGGACTTTAATTGCCCCATGTTGATAAATGCATGCTCCAGCCATGGCAAAGAAACCAAACTTTCAGTGTCCTAAATGACAGGGCCCTGGAGCAGCTGACCGGGAACTTACTGAAGGAGAGGTGATCTTGGATTAAATCCAAAGTGAAAGGTTGCTGAACCCTTTGGAGGCAGTGCCCACAGTGCTACCAGGTTTGATACACATTTAAGTGGAAAATTGCCAAGGAAGCCTAACCCAGAAATTAAGATCATTTCTGCAAAATGAGGGAGCTGGATATCAATGGTGGCATGTCCCGAGGACTGATGTGCTACGTTAATATCACAGGCAGTATTACTTGGCACACCACTTGCTAGGGAACATGGGCAAGAGTTGGACTCATGTGCTGCTTAAGGGTTTCCTGTGGGTACTGAGTTGGTCACCGTGAGGACAGAAAGTTGGACCAGGAGAGTCTTTGGCCTGCTCCAGCATCTTAGGAGTGATCAAAGATAATGCAATGTGCATGCATGTTTGAAAGAACCCCTGAGCCTGGGAACAGTGTGACACCACAGTTAAAAGTGTTTTCCTCCAATATCCAGGCCAGCTCAGGGAAATGATAGATAAATTATTCCTTTGGTGGGTTTCCTAGCAATAAAGATGGGAATGGCTGTTGCAGGGTGTGTCACATGAATACAGTCAAACCGACCTGTTCTAATGACTTCCATAGTTTCAAGGAAAGAAAAACTCCAGGACACACAGCTATTCCACATGGCATGTACAGAGCATTTTGCTTCCCAAAGAAAGTTGCACCATATGCTGAAATCTACAGCTTGGCCTTGAATGCAAGGAACGACTCTCACTTTCGTCAGATTTGTGCCAACCAAGCAGACCATAAGATAAAAAGTTATACATAGAATTCTATGCATAGCATCTGAAGGCCTCCTCTTGTGACACTTTTAAAAAGCAGGGAAGAGTTCTAAGGTACCACACCCAGGACAAAGAACCATGGGGAAAAAAGCTGTAAAATAAACATCCATCCTTCAGTGATGTCATTGGTAGAGCAAATGGCAGAGCTTGTGTGTCATGTCCCTAAGAAGGACACATGCAGTATAATCAAAAGCATGTTGCACAGCCCAGCTGTGGTTCTAGATAATGCTAGCACAGCACGTGTGTTTTAAACTTTTTTTAAGTTTGAATTTGCCTTACAAAAAATGCCCATTTCATCTTATTTTGCATAATGTATTCTGCTCTTTATCTTGGGGAGGAGCTTTATGGAGACTGGAAGGAAGACTGGTTCTGAGATAGGAACACCTGCTTTTAAACCTATTTTTACAATTCCTAAAGGAATTTTATTAAAAAAAAAAGATTTTTGCTTTCAAGAGATTGTGAATTTTGCAGACTTTCTACACTGCTTTGGAATTACAGCCGATGCACACACATTATTTAAAATGAAGAAACGGAGCTGATAAGTCAGTGACCTAAATTTTATAATGCCACATAGCCATTCCATTATTCAGCCAAATGCCATCCAGGAGCATACTGAATAAAAGCGCAGAGTAACACTCGTTTTCTGAGCGACCCCTGATATTGCCTACATAAATATGATATTATACTGATGACAATCATCCATAGCTGTCAAACCGTCCAAACTGCTAACAGATCACTTGCCAACTGATGGAAGCCTGTTAAATGCAGCCCTGAACACCTCATCTTCCATCATGACACTTAAAAAGCAGATACTGTTCTGAGAATGATGAAGCAGCTTCATTTCATCCCTTGCCAGTTGTTTTCCCAAGCCAGAAGGATTTCTGTACAAGAACATCTGTTAGGAGTAGTGGTGGCTAAATACCTCTGCTTCTTCAGCTACATATTGAAGACAGCACATTTTCTCTTTCCTCTAAGACTTTTCAGGAATTTATTTCATGTCGGTCCATGTGCTCTCACAGCTTTACTTTGTGCTTCAGTATAAAGACATGTTAAAAAAACAACAACAATCAAAAGATTTCACAAAGGCACAGCAAACTAGAGTTCAATAAAGTTCTTATCAGATTTCCTTGCAAGTGTTTTCTGCTGTTACATCTTATCCACAACTCGGATCAGTTCACAGACCTCAGTATAAGCATGGGCAGCAGAGTAAGTGCAGTAATGCAAGCCAACATGAAATTATAAGGAACATCATAAGCCAGCCCTTGCATAAAAATCCCAAGAGAAGCCCTTTGTAAGGCTATAGCTGCAGTCCTTCAAACAATCAGAGTGCCTCCAATTCCACTGACTTCCACTTCTTCCTAGCTGTGCAGGATGCAGTTGGCACCTGGACGGTACCGGAAGGCACTTCACTTGCCATCTGAGGCAAACTCTTGGTTGTAGGCTCTGCAGAATTTTTCTCAAGATATAATAATCTGCGTGTCTTAGCTAAGCGCCTGTTGACTTCAGCACTCAGGGGCAAAAGAAGCCAATCTTTCCAAAGAACCGAGCCCTTGGCCAGTGCTTACACCATCTATATGAATCGTCCAACCTAGCTTAGGTGCTTGAGCAGAGGTGCCAGCGATTGACATCATTGGGTCCTTGCTCATACTAAGCTATTTCTGCAACAGAAAGGGGGTGCAACCTCCTCATTTCTAGCTCTGGATTTCTGGCAAGTGTTTCTCTGCCTCTGTGAAAATATATGGGGGCCAGGGCCTCAGATGGCTGCAGCTAGCAACTGTCCATGTGTGGAGTCAGCAGCAGGCCACTCTGTCCAACCACTGTCGAGCTCTACTTTCTAGTACTGACCCCCAGCTCAATTTCCGTTCTTTGGGAGTAGTCGAATAATTACTTCAGTCTCCCACACCACCGTCAGCCTGCTTACACCCCCCCAGTCTTCCATAGCCTCGATAACAATAAAATAATCAGAAGCAGTTATGCTGATGCAAACTCCTGGATACTTAATTGTACTTTCTGTTTTTACTGCATCAGCTACGAAAGGTTTCTGCTTGTTGTACCCATTCCATAAGTGGGGTGGAAATCCATGGCTATTTTCCGCAGAGCCAACATATCTAGGCTGACTCACTTTTTCCATCTGCAGATAACCTACTAGGTTTCTGTACCGCAGGAAGACTGAGCAACCTGTGCTCTGTCTTAAACACCTGACCAAGGAGACAAACTACAGCTTAAGCTGTATCATCTTTTACCAATTAAGGTTTCTGAGGTGAGTTAAGTGCCTAACTCCTTTCCAGTCCAAATCAACCAGAACCAAAGAAGGTTATCTCACAATGTATCTCGGTGCATGCTCAGGGCTACTGCAAAAGCCATTCCCTTCCCTGGAGGACTTACATCAATGCAAAAGAAAACCGATCCCTTCAAGAGAAGTCCACCAAGAGAAGGCAAGAGAAGTGCACCAAGCAGAGAAAATCCACAAAAGCACCACAATCCCCTTGCCTACAAGAGACTGTTGGGATGTGACCATGCCGACTCTGCTAAGCCATTAGTTACTTGGAGAACTTCTATATAGGAACTGGAAGAGAAGCATCACAATTATACCATAAAATGCTTGCTCTAAGGTTTCTAATGGCTTTGCAACACACTCAGTTTAAAATGTTGCAGATCGCTATCTATCTTTGTCAGAGTTAAATGTTGCACAGTCAACATGAAGAATGCTTTGCAATTACTGCATCCCTTTTCAATATTTAGGTTGCATTTGTTGGCTGCACTTAAGACAATACAATATGATAAATACAATATTTACAGGCTTTTGTGAGCAAACAAAATGGCCTCAAAGACAACCCAGTCATTATACAAACTGCTGAAAAAATACAGAACTTTTCTTTGATTCCTCTCATACAAAATAATTGCCCACTTGGTCTACACAGTAGAAACTGAAGAGGCAAGGTTCATCTAGCTTGATAACACATTATATGTACAAAACATATAAACACATAAACTAGAGCATGATTGATCCCAATTAGAATTTCAACTAGCATTTCTCTGAACATGGGGAATCCAGAAGTTGAAGTTTCAAATTTCATTTGATGGGGGTGACCAGCTCCAGTGTACAAACAACAAAGAACAAACTCTCACATGCTAAGATATGTGAATGCATGTGAGCATGTGAGAAAGACATCGAAATTCATGGTTTCTTCCAAGAACAACCATCTCTAAACTTGACCCCAAAATGTCCTCTCTGCTCATGGAGTCATTCAGTCAGCATTTCATGGGGGTGGGAATAGACTCCTCCAGAATCAACCATACAGCTTTTCGGCTTTAAGAGCAATATTGTCCATGTCGTGAAAGCTTTTCCCATTTAAATGTTCACTGGTGCAGTCATGATTGTAGCTGAAGCTTTGCCCATCTGAAAGGGAGGTGGAGACTGTGAAGGAAGCTGAGCGAAGACCATCTGAGTGGGCAAAGCTGTGCTCAAACTGGATCCGGTACTGATTCCAGTGCCTTCTCAGAACAGACTGGACCTATTCCGGGGAAGAGGAAGACAGAGGATAGTTATAAATCAAAAGATGGACTGCTTTGCCACTACAGAAAAAAGGAAGCACGATGTGTGTTGTTTCTTCATCTTATCTCGCCAGCCAGCAACTCATTTTTAACAAGTGATACATATTTGAGCTGAGCTGTGGCTCAAGGGATAGGAAGATTAAATTCACTGATGGCGCCTTCCTCCCAGTGGCATTAGAAGAGGTGACAGAGGTATTAGCAGAAATTTTCCCTTACGGGGTGACTGCGGGCAAATAGGAAAGGTGGAGAGAAGCCTGCCAGAGCCTCTTTATTGCTGTTCAGACTGAGGAGGGGAAGGCTAGAGAGCCTGCAAATCCTCACCTACAGACCCTTTGGAATACTGCCCCATGGTTTTCCAACCCATATGTTTCCTGATTACTCAGGAAGTCAACTTGCATTGCTAGATGCTTCGGTCATTCAAGTGATTTAGAGCCAGGATTCTCAAACTCTGGTGTGAGTTCCTTTAGACAGGCCTAGCCAGGCACGAGGTGAGGCATGACTGCCTCATCAACCCACCCCTTAACTATCTGCTTGCTAATTTCTAGTACTCCGAGACTTCGACCATAACCATTCCATGCCTCTGTAACAGCTGCCTTGGCAGAATAATGTGCCCCAATCAGATTGTTCTGGATTTTGACCCTTGAGGACTTTAACTGGCTATGGGCACACAGACACCCCCTCTTTCTTTCCCCATTATCCAGGGGCTTGCAGGCACATGGATGAAGCTGCTGCTGATCCTCAGGAAATGAAACTGATGCAAAGCATTTCCTAGAGCAGTAGCCTGAAGCAACACTGAGTGTGCTGTTGCACAAACAGAGGGAGTTGTGCACTTGAAGAACTATTTTCTTCTGGAAGAAGCCTTCGTGGTGTGAAATTGTATGTGCATGCACACACACAGTTGATGGAGGATGGCAAACAGGAAAATGAAATGCAGAAAATACAGAAGGGATAATAATGATACATGGTGTCATTCCAGGGAAGCAGAAAAGCAAATCTGGTCCTGTGAATTTAGTATGTGAGATTAAGCCAGCCTGAATTTGGTGAGCACTCGGTAGGAGGTTGCCTGGGGACACCTGTGCATTGCACTGAGCAACCTGGACGATGGATAAAGTGCAAATGCAAATAATGGATATTCCATGAATATACTGGTTGATACAGATGCTCATCAGGCTGCACCAAGCACCATATCCTTCTAAAAGTTATGCATTCACTTAATCTGGCAGGAGATTTTAATCAGCAAACCTGATTCACATTTCCATCAAGCTGGTGGAAAAACTGTTTCCTGAATAGAGTTCAGCCTGCTTTTCTACCTTGGTTAAAAATACATGGGATAAAATAGATGAAGGCACATGAGACCGGTGTTTGTTTATCCACCTCTTTGGAAGGATGTTCTGTTTGACAATAGTTTCCGTTCATACAATGTGGCAGGCCACCTGTGTGACAGGAAGTGTGATTTACTAGAGACCTTGGTGAAATGAAAATGGAATTTGTCTCTTCCAAAAGCGGTTGACTCCAGGAGTGAAATGATGCAAAATATGCTTTGTTAAAGGTTTTCGGAAGGGTGTTCTTTTTCCTTTTTCTTTCGGAGAGAGTAGAGCATCCTTAAAAGTCATCAGCTCCAGAACAGAACTGGCCTGGTGCTATAGTGTAATATCACTGCCATTGCTGCAGATCAATTATGGTATTGAGCTAAGCTGCTCCAGAGAAAACAGTAGCACCAGCAGGCTTCTATCGCTCGTTATAAAGGTGGGGGACTTAAGAAGAAGGCCATTTTTCTGTCCTCCCTTCCCCTGCACTCTCCACATCCCATCCCACTTTGTCCAGGCGATATCCTCCTCCTCTTGGAAGGATTTCTTGGGGCAGAGGCTGGAGGCTGTATGGAGGGTGAGAGGACAGGAAACTTCCCCGCCATGGACTTCCTTACATTCATTTATTACAGTAGACAAGTTGCAGTACCACAGTATTCTGCAAGTCCATTGACTGGTAATAGACCCTCCATGGGGTCAATGACAAAGTGTGGCATTCTGTTACTATATTGTATTTTTGTTAATGGGTGGCAAAGTATATTAGGTTGCTGAGCTGGGCAATACTGGGCACTGTAGGCCTTTTTCTGTCTAAACCTGCATGGAATTGCACCCTTAGCCCTTTAACTGTTTGTAATTGGCCCAGAGAACATTCATTATTGGCCAGATTAAAAATAAAATATAAATAAATAAGTGAATAGTAAGACTCACATCTCCTTCTTGAATAAAAAGCTTCCATCTCATACTGACATCCCTTCCCTACAGAGAACAACTAAAGGAACTTGGTAATCTTAACCTGCGCAAATTGGGCACGTGGTTTTTATGGCCCCATTTTTAAGCTGCTTTATTCTAAACCGGTCCCTAACAAGTCATTCATACAAGTAAAGTAAGTCAGTTACTGTACCTCTCCATTAAAAAAGCAGAAAATTGTTGCCACCAACAAACCCTGCAGAATAAAATAGGAAGCTGTTAATGGTTTGTACATACACTAATGCAAAGAAAATTATACTTAACGGCTTGGACCCAACATAACTTGCATGGGCAACTTCTGCTTGTGCTTCCAAACTGTTCTGGCTTCCCTGCCTATTGCAGCCTCCGGTGCTTAATCCTGTGCCATTCTAGGGGGTCCTCCGTCATCTAGAATGGGCCTTGTGGTGGGTGCACAGGAGACTGCAGGGAAGCCATACTACATGAGTAGAGTTTTGTTCCCCCTTCTCTGGATCCAGCCTAACAAAAGTCAGATTCAAATGGGCTGAACCAGAGCTTAGGTGGGAAACATTTTTAGTACCAAACCAGATTAGTTTCTAAAGCTGTTTTTCAATTAGTTCTTTACTGCTTAGACCTTGACCTGATCCCAATTTTCTTTTACCCTTTTCTTTAAATGCCCTTCTTTGCAATGTCACTACTCTGAATTTGCTTCACCCACTCACTTCAGTGTCATTAAATGGCCAAATGCGGCAGGCCACATGGTAACTCGACTGTGCACTAGAAAAAAGGGATTTTGAAACAAATGACAACAGTACCCAAGGAGCGGCCAACAAGGGCTACGAAGAACTCGTTTGCATCAGTAGTACTGCCCAAATACAAGGTGTTGGCAACAGCATGAATGGGCCCTTTCTGTTATACTCCAGCCCTGCTAACACTTTTGCTTCTTTTAATATAACTTGAGAAATGGCAAAAAATGAAATAATAATATAAATAAATAAATAAATAATAAAATAAAATAAAATAAAATAAAATAAAATAAAATAAATAATCTCGTGGCAGAGAATGCTCCACAAATTGTCCTGCCGCCATTGAAAAAGGGACACATAAAAGCATGTATGTGTACATAAATGAATTAAACTGTTGCTCTCACTATGGGGATTCATGGCACAGTACTTAAGCAAAACAATGAATACACATTAGGATAAGGAGCTGACTAAAATATTCCAAATGCCCAATTTGGTGGCATTCCTGTACCAGGACCTAGAAATTGAAAAATCATATTGAGAACTTATACCTGATAGTGCATGAGGATATGCATCACGTAATCATAAATCTCTTCGGCAATACGGCCCTCGGGTCGCCATGGAAACAGCACAAATTCAATGCCGAGGAGTGGCACTAATATGAGAGTAGCTCTTACAGCCTTCATGTAGAGGTTGGATTCTGCCTGGTGGGTGACTTTTAGCTTGGTTATGAGAACTCGAACAATGTTCAACAAGAAAAAGAGATTCACCTGCCGAGAAACAGCTGCAGTGAATGATAGTAATTTTGTTTTACAGGCACTAATGTTTGTAAACAAAACAAAACAGGACTACCTGCTGTGGTTTTATAAATTAAATGAATGAATACATACATACACACATAAAAGAAAGCAAACATCCAGGCCTGTGCTCAGAAAGTGTCAGCATGGCTTGGGTTTTAAGTCTGAAAGTACTTGTACACTGGTGGGTGGGGTTCCGTTCATTCTGAAAAACCCTAAAAACCTAAAGACAAGCACACGGATATGCTTCCATAGGAGGGCTTTAGGGCACCATTGCCCATCTTCGTGTTATTTTACAGGCTCTCATATGCTTCCTCACTGTCTCTGTTGCCTTTTTTCATAGTATAAAAACAAGCATTTAAGGAGGACAAGATAGAGAAGATGCGCCTGGTAGCCCTAAGAGTCATCCACCCAGAAGCACCCCCTGTCGTGGTGTGCTCATCCCCACACGGACAGGACTTTGACAAAACTGAACACTGTGCCTACGTACTAATTTGTGGAACTTCTATCGTCACCTCTTGGGCTGCCCTCTTATGTAGACTGGCCTGGAAAGAAAGCCCGCTTGAAAGGATTTCTGAGCAAACATGTCTTGTGCTATCAGCCATCTTTTGCTTTTTGAAACTCCCAACGGATCTATGTAGATCCCTTGATCATTTTTGTTTCCTGTCACTGCATCTTTTCCATCTCTTATGATAAATGTTTTTAACTGGGTGGCCAGAATGAGTAGAAAATATTGTTAATCTAGCCACACTAGAAATTTATATTATTCATTTATTATTACTGATTAATGCTATTTTCTTAGGCTGCAGTCCTAGGCATGCTTAGGCAGGAAGAAGTACTACAACTCACAACATCCTGGGAAATGTAAGCCTGTTTTCTGTCTAAATATGCACAAGACTGCACCTGTAGTTCCTTTTTCACTAAAGAAAACTAAAGCAGCATTCAACATTAAAATCAATCAATAATAACATTATCGAGCATGATATTTTGTGTCCAACCCATTTTCTTTAAAAAGAAGTGGCTGAGGCCCAATTCTCCCTGAGTATTCAATTAGCAAAGGCCCACAAGGGAATTTTCAAGTCTCAGAGAATGTTACTCAGGAGAGTTTGCTGAGTTTCATGGGAATTAGCTCTTCCTAGAGGAGAAGCAGAAAGACCCCATGCAGCAAAGACTTCCATCCAGCACCCCTCCCTGCCGCTCCCATCCCCTCAAAGTGGCACTACATTGATGGGGCATAAAAATGGTGCCCACATATTTCCCACCCAGCCTGTTATAGTGCCACTAGTGGGCAAACCAGTTTGCTTGTCTTCCAGAGACGGGTGTTAGCGGCACTGATGGGCTCTCAGCAAGCAAGCTTTCAACCCTGGTGAGCCCCTCCGGGAAGCATGGACCCTGGCAGTTGCCCAACCATGCTGGGTGCTGATCCAGAGTCTGACACTACAGAATGCATGCACAGCAGTTTAGTTCCCCACCACTTGACTTCTGCAGCATTGAACTGAAGTATTAAACATGTACTTCCACCCAATGAAAAGCCCCAGAATTCAAACTTCATAAGATAATCCTGGTTGCTTTGTTTAAATCTCTACATCCATACCAAAAGAGCAGCACAAATAGGACCATGGACGATGTACAGCAGATGAGTTTCTGAACTGATCCAGCAGCTGCAGGGTACAAAAAGAAGAAAGAAGGAAAGAAACTGAGTTAGGCAAGAGGAAGAATCTGACCTCTCTTAAAAGAGGTGCTTTCAAGGGACTGTTGTAAAGATAGAAGGGTGATTCGGTTTTGACTTACTTGTCATTGAAATATATGGTTCTTGCTACAGCATGTATGCAGGCAGGAATCAAGGGGAATCCTGTGAACAGGAAATGATGTGCTTCTTACTAGGAAGTCTACACTCCATGACTGCAGAAGTGAGGAGTGGGATAGCTTGTGGTGGCCTCTGTCCCACCAGGACCAAGGACCCTGGGAAGCAGCACCCCCTCCCACCCAGGAAGAACCCCAGGGCAAGGGGAGGGCCAGGCTGATCCCAGGGGCTGCCCAATCACAGGAAGCACATTTCCCTTCCCTCTGGGGAGAGCCTGGGTCCCGCCACCCATCAGAGGAATTAGGGCTGCCCAGCAGCAGCTGGAGCAGCTCTGTCCAGGCAGGGCCTGCAGCAAGCAAGTCTGGCCCCAGCTGCAGGATCACAGGGTTGGCAGGGGTCATTTAGGCCACCAAGTCCAATGCCTACTCAGTGCAGGGATCCAACTCAGCGCATCCTGGCAGATGCCTGTGCAGCTTTGTTTCGATAGGTCGTCCCTAGACTGTTGGTTCCACTTTCTGATTGTTCTGATCATTACAGAGCTGGATATAAATGGGTGTTTCTAACACGTTGCTTCAACCTGGCATTGTCACACAGCTCTGCCTACTTTCTACATGTCCCCTCTAATCTCCTACTTCCGTGTGTCTTCTCTTTTTAGGGCAATGTCTACAGCTTAATTTGTGTAACTGATGTAAGCTGCACTGAGAGAAATCACTTGTCTGAAAAGCTTGATAAAAATAGAATGTAATAAATACACAAATTACCTAGGACTAGATTTTTTATTCATTTAACCAAAAGAAAAGGAAAACGTTTTTCAAATCCCAATAACCAAATTGGTCTTGAAAGAAAACATTCTTTGCAGCACTGCTAGGCTTCAAACAATCATAAATTTAGATTATGCTGGTTTAGATTTCTTGGTATTATAAGCTAGGTGAGTCCAGGCTTTGCACGGATAGCATAAGGTTGTGTGCAACCAGTTCAGGGGAAGAGCCCAGTAAAATTGTGGAGCACAGCAACACACAGGCCCTGGTGCTGCTGCTTAGTGCTGGTTGTGCTGCGGTCCATGTGCACAGTGCTCATTTTGAACATTGGATGCACGGAAGCCAAAGTATACTGATATAGCATGTGCTCTGCATGCACGAAGACTCAGCTCCGATTCTGCTCTTTCTTTACATGAGGGCCAAAGCCCCCACCATTGCACTGGCTCCAATAAGATCTTTTTTCTTCTAACTCCTGTATACACTGGGGGGAAGGACACTGGGGGAAAGGAAGAAAGAGGCTGAGTCGGATGTGCAGTGGTCCCCATCCGGACTGGAGCCCACGCTCTCACAGTAAGTAGAGGAAGCGATGTTTGGATCAGGCACGTGCTGCAGTTGTGTGTCAAAAGGCATGTAGCCTCCTCCACAGCTTGCCAAGCTGCTGCTAAAACCCAGTGGAGTATCCAGCATGGCTTCTGAGGAAGTTCAAGCACTGGCCGCCATAAGGCACGAAGAGCGTCTTTGCTGTGTACGTGGCTGAGCATGCTATGGACCAAAGGGTCTTGCGAGCTTCGTGTGGACGCAGGAGCCCATTTCTCATTCCGTCTCAACCAGAGGCTTGAGTTACAGGCAACATTACATGGCCACCTGCTCTTCAGCCTGCAGAAAATGAGCAAAGAGCATCCTGCCCTCAAGGGAAGAAATGAGTCTGCTTCGCAATGTCAGTCATGCAAGGCCAGCTTTCCCCAAGTTGCTGGCTTCCTGATGTGTTGGACGTCAACCCCCATCAGCCCCAAGCAGCTAGCCAATGGGTAGGAATGCTAAGAGTTGTAGTTCAAAACATCTGGGGGCGCCCGGCTGGGCAAGGTGTTGCAGCGTTCTTTACTGTCATGGCTCTGCAGTTGTCCTTCTGGAATTTGTCAAGAGAGCCATGAAACCATTTTTGTTTGGGAAATGGAAAGCTGTTATTTGTACAAGTTTCAGTTTTGGCACAAATAATTCGTTTAGTTAAGAACCCTTACTTGATTGTGTAAACCTTTTTCTGTGATTTCATGACACAAATGCAATTTTGGCCTGAAATCGGCTGGGTTGATGTGCCTGCCACATTGAAAAATCCGCAGCTGAGGACATGAGCTGTCCCAGATTCACAAGGAAGCCACCAAGTACAAGGCAAGCACTTAGGTGCTTTCCTGGAACCAAGCCTTCACAAGAAAAGCACAAACCAACCTCTTTTGCCCCCACAGATGTTTCCCTTTCGTAGCCATACAAAATACAAATGGCCTGATACCAAATTTTGTTATTCCAGCAGTGCAGGGGAGGGCAGAGAAGATTTATGACTCTGTGAAACATCCCAATTCTTGATGCTACACTAGCACCGGAAAGTTCTGACAAGGCGTGGAACCTTCAGGATGGGGGTCCTCCCGTCTGCCTTGACTCCAGCCAACAGAGATTGCTCTAAGGCCTTGAGGCTAAGCCTGGCTCAGAAGGACTCTTGCATTTTGCTCTTCCTGGAAAACCTCCCTATTCATTAATTCTGGTCATGAGGCTGCAGAAACAGGTGAAGAAAGCAAGCACCCTGAACCCACATACTGAAACAGAATGAAGAGAGGGGCTGCAAGGCCCAACTTCTTCACAACAGATTTCTAGGGGCAGCTAGGAATGCCCTGAAAGCATTCCCAAATCCTAAACATGGTCAGTAGTCACAGTACGCTAACATAGGCATATAAAGTGCTACCTTTGCCATTGAAGTCACATTGTGATACCCAGGCTATGCTCAGAGGCATATCTCCTTGGTGATCCCACTTTAATTCTTTTGCACCTTTATTTTTAATGCATTCAAAATTAATAAGGAGAGCCACTTGTTGAATATATCAAAGTGCTACAGTTTACGAGTATGTATAAATGAATGCTAAAGGGAGTTTAAAAAGGAAGACCGCTTTAACATAAAAAGTTTAATGTTAACATTTAACAGCCCTGACATTTTTATATTATATATCAAATGGAATTAAGCCTTGATGAGTCCAATCACAATGGCATTCATATATCTGTGTACATGAGACTGCATACGTTAAAGCTGCCAGAAATGGGATAGCCTGGGGTGGCTGGTGATGATGGGAAGGAAGTGTTTTGCGCTAAGATCTTGCCAGAAGAAGGTTATACAAGCAGGCAGGAAAAAAAAGGATAAAGTGCCCAAGCAGCCAGTAATCCAGCAGGAGAAGCTTGGGTGCCAGAGGAAGAATGTACCCCAAAGCTGGACCTGGTTGTAAGGCTATTTGTTTGGGATAGAAGTTTAGGGAATTTGGCCTGTGATAATAGAAGTCCTCAGAGGTTTACAACAGTATCTCTTGATTCTTAAATAATTGTCACTCAGAAGTCTTTGAAATCTCCAAAGTAAATGCTAATAATCTCTCACAGAAACTATCTCTCACGGAAACTAAAACTATCCTTTTAATCAAACACATTGTTTAACAGTTCATCTTGGTCTTAGTGTTTTTGTCCTTCTCATACCTGTGTCTCTCTAGGAGTTGGTGGTAGTGGGAAAGGTTAGTTTGTATTGCTCTGAGTTACAGTGGGCAAGGAGTCCCTTTGGACTAATCTTGACCCTTAGGACAATCACTACGGCTGTGAGAATCAACCCTTACTCAAAAGGACCTGGGCAATTTCATTCTGGTGACTAAAGCTTGCTCATTTCAACATCCTCTCTCTATGGCCTAGGGTCAGTTTTTTTCTAAATATTGTTGTTGTTAGTTGTGAAGACACATCCGACCCATCGCGACCCCATGGACAACATTCCTCCAGGCCTTCCTATTCTCCACCATTCCCCAAAGTCCACTTAAGCTCACGCGGACTGCTTCAGTGACTCCATCTAGCCACCTCATTCTCACAGTCTAGATCTACCAGGACTTCAAAGGAATGAGCTAGCAACCTCATTCAGGCCACAATCCCATCACCTGAGGTCTTGATGCATGTAGGCCTCCAAACGCAGAGGCTTGCATGCCTCATATGCCCAGAAGAATGGGCAGGAGCAGCAGAATCTTTCTCCACTGTGTCCTGTATTTAATCTAGATGTTCACTTCCAGGCATCTAGATTAAATTCCAGGCATGGGGCAGTTGGGGGAGGCTGGAATGCTAATAGGAAGTGGCATTAAGTCTGTGGCCCCGCTCTCTTCCCCTCCCTTGGCATGCCTCTTTTTTCCCGTTGTAATCTGGGGCTAGGACACTCAGCATGGGTTCTTCTGCACTGGCTGCAAAGTAGGTGGAGTGGGAGCTTAGCCTTTGGAGGTGCCGCTCTGAGGTTGGGACTCCAAATAATCCTATGGCCTCCCAGATGATGTTGGGAGGCCCTAGGATTGACCCCTCAGTGAACTGATTTGAACAGCAAACTGAAGCTGACCTTGGTTCCTATGTCTTCATCGAAAGAATGCAGTGGTGGCAAGAGCTGTGCAGGGGAACTGTATCTCTCTTTGCATGACTGAAAACAGAAGTTGCTGTATTGGTTTAAGAAAAATTCCCCAAACCACAGAGGGTGTGGCAGAAGTGATTGCTACACTGTGGCCTGCTGTTTCAGCTCAACAACCTATGGAATGAGACCATAAACCAACTAAAATGGAAGTTCAACAAAACTCTGGTGTAGATTGGATTGTGCAGTATTTGTTCTCCCGGGGCTAAGCAGCCAGTCCAAGCAGGCTGAAATCCTGTTCTTTAAAAAAACAACAACCCTAACTGGATCAACTCCAAAGCATATCAGCCTGCGTTAGAGATGAATGGCTTGCTGCCTTCAGCACTGTTGCCCAGTTGAGATTTTTCATTCCAACTAGTGTTCGCCTCGCCTGGTGAACAAAACAGGTCAAAAGGAACTGCTGGAAAAATAAATGGTGGTTCGACCTCCTACCCCAGGAATGGCGAGACTTCTTTGAAAACAAACAGTCATTCCTGTATAAACACCCCCAAGATGAGAAACAATGAATAATTAGCCCTTATTGCCTTTCCATAATAGAAGATTTTTCTCAACATAAAGGAGGAGCTACTTCCTGACTCTACTAAATGCATGTCTCTTTTAGCTAAGATAAGCTTGCTGCATCAATGGGACATGTTTAAAGTTTATTCCTTAATTCAAACAAAGTGGAAAATAGGAACGGGGTTTAATTTATCTCCTATTTTATTTCTTAGTCATGCAAGTAAAACAACGGAGGTTACCAACTGCTGGTGCACTTTCTAGAACAATGCTATCAAAATTCTCTTGAATTAAAATGTCTTTATGACTGTGCCATCGAATGGATAGTGATCTACATGTCTGGGAGAGGGAGAAGAAAAAGAAGGAAAATAGCATACCCCATCCAAGAAGGTAATACCACAGTAAGTGCTGTTTTTCTGCAAATACAGCCACCACAATGAGAGTGTGCAGGTAAATGCCTTCACAGAGCATCCAGAAGTAATTGCAAACCATTAAATAAAGGTGGAAGAACTGGGCCACTTTGCATCCGACCTATGGGGGAAAATACCACAGGCTTTATGCCGTATTCAAATCACACGTCTTCCTACAATGTAGGTTAAAAATGCTACACATGAATGGCTTTAGCAACAGTTTCTTATTGTGGAAAATGCCCTATGTGGAAATACGTATTTCTGCTTCAAAAGGCCAAGGTAATGGCATGGGCGTCACTCTTAAGGGCACAAGGCCATGGAGTCCTCTTTCAGTCGTGGAAGCTTTTCACTTGTCTAAACACACATCAGGGTATGCCTGTAAGGAAGTTCAGGGAAAGGAAGCCTCTGAAACCCTTTTTACCCACCCCAATCCCCCAAAGGCCCCTCTGGAGGATCAGGGTCCATACAATATAATGAGGGATGGATGCTTGGGAAGGATTGGGCCAGATACAGTGGTACCTCGGCTCACGAACGCCTTGGTTCACGACCAAATCGGGTCGCGAACAAAAATTTCATGAAAATTTTGACATGGGTTGCGAACTCCGCATTGGGTGGCGACCAAGATCACAGCCATCTCCCCACCCCCCCAAGTGGGGAGATGACCGCAATTGTGCTGGGGGTGGGGGGAAGGAGTTGGCCAAAATCGCGTCCATCTCTCCCTCCCCCAGTATGCCCCGTTCACGCCCGTCTTTTTCTCCCCCAGCGCACCTGTGATTGCGCCCGTCTCCCCCCCCCCCCTCAAAGTGCACCGGGATGATGGGCGCATGCAGGGATGACGGGCACGATTTTGGTCATGCTGGGGGACGGGGAGATGGCCGCGCTTGTGCTCAGGGTGGGGAGGGGGAGACGGCCGCGATCTTTGTTGCTCTTTGTCACTTTGCTTCACATTTTTCTGATTAAAAAAAAAATGGTTACAGAACGGATTAACCTTATTTACATTGAACCTTATGGGGAAATTTAACTTGGCTCATGACCAATTTGAGTCATAACCAATGGAATGGATTACGTTCGTGAGCCAAGGTACCACTGTGATTTCCTTCAGTGAACATCTTTAAGTTATTTATTTCTTTTTTTCCCATTTATATCCTGCCCTTTCCATTTCAAGGAACTCAAGGAGGTGGACATAATTCTCCTGCTCCTCCAGACCTTATCTTTGCAACAACAACCCTGTGAGATAAGTTGATCTGACAACCCAACTTTTTCTCTGATTGGCCCAAAAGTCACCCATGGCTGAGAGGGGACTAGACGCCAGATCTCCTGAGTCTCACCCCTCAGACACACTTAATGTCTACACCAACTGGCTCTCGTACTGTGTGATGCTAATCCAAGTTTGGGCAATTCAGCCTCATGCCACATTATCCAGGAGGGCCTCCAACTGTCTGAAGAGAGTTTTGTAAGGGTTTAGGTTGCTGCAGTTTGGAGTATGGGAAACCTTCCCTTTCATGAACTCTATTAAGTTTATATGCTTCTAACTTTACATTAGAAACAAAATCATAATCATCACAATAAAAACAATAAAGTTTCTATACTTCAGCAATTTTGACCTAGGCAAATGAACACCCTGTTCAAAATGTTGGCAGAAAAACAAGACAGCTTCTTCTGTGAAGAGGACAACAGATTCAGCATTCAGTGTGGGGGAAAGATATTCAAAAGTATAGTTCCAAGCCAAAGAACATCTAACCTACAAGTTACCATCTACAATTAAACATGTTGGAACACTCTTGCAATACCTGTTAGACTGTAAGACTCAGACTGCTTTCTGTGTTAAAGTGTGAAGTATACCTAAATTCCAGAATTTATTAAAAACTGACACCACTGCTTCAATTTCTCAGATTTTTCATTTTTTTTTCTTAATCCCAGGGAGATGCTGACACTGAGAAACTCATCAATTGGTTTGATGGACTGCCTGCCTGCTTCCGATCTGATGACTGGATGCAGGCCAGGTCAGGTTTTCTTCTGTGAACTCCTGAATCTAAGATTGGCTATGGCTTGCATATTTTTAAATGCTCAGAAACTTCACACAAATTGCACAAGTTGTGTAAATTTATAAAGTGAATGCATATGTACAGAAACTATATAAATCGTGGTATGTTTCACATTTGCATGAAGGGGCATTTGCAGAGCATATGAATCTTGCATGATTTGTGAAAATTGCACAAAATCACATGCTTTTGGGGTGCCCCTTACAGCAAATCAGCTGAATTACAGATATTTCCCCCCACCCAAAATGCACAAATCGTAGCCTGCCTTAGCGATGGAACTCTTCAAACTGGCTCATTTCACACCCTAATGGGTCAGTACCAACACAGGTCTTGTAAAGCAGAAGGATGGTGATAGAGGTGGTAGGGAAACTGAGTCCTAAATATCCATTGGACTTCAATCTTTTATTGGATTCATCACACATCCTTACCGCAGAGCAAAGTCACAAAGTGCATATAGGTAATACCCGAACAGGGATCATTAAAAGTCTTAGCAAAAGATAGATACTGAAGTAAGATCCTTGCCACATTTCCTTGGAGTTCATTTAGAGGAAATACCAGTTCATAAGGGCTTTCTCTCTGCTTTGCTTCCCTTTTCTCTTTAAACTCTAGAAACAGTACAACCACAGGGAACCCCCCCCCCACAAATATTCTAGCACACTACAAAGGAAAGCCTCTACAGAGACTAGCCGCAAAGGCCTGTAGAAATGTACACCAAGTATGAAATGGTGCATTTATCATCTTATACATTGCAAAGTGGTTTAGCCAAGGAATGTTTGCCTTTATGGGCTTATTTCCCGCTCACAACTTCAAATGGCATTTATACGACTACAGTGGCGAAGCCCTGCTAGGCTGTCACACGGGCAGGCTGGCTCAGGTGGTTATGCCAGGCCTGCCCACTCCCCGCCACCCCCTGCCCTCCACCCCGGGCGGTGCGAACGCAGAAGCAGCTGCCTCCTGCGATCCAACTCTGGCATTGCCACACAGCACCCCTAACGCTACGTCTCTCATTTACAGCGCAATCCTACACATGTCTACTCAGAAGTCGATGGGACTTTCTCCCGGGTAACACATACGAAGGCATCGCAGCCTGCATGGCTGTTTCGTCGCGGAAATGTCATTTCTGATGAAGGAACAGAACAGGCAAAGAGCCACTTACTGGATTAGCTGCAACCAGCTGTTGGTTATTGGCAACTCCTGTCAGACAAATAATCGTGACGATGGAGTTGCAAACAAAGGAAAAAAAGAGGTTTTTATGTAAAGTGATCCTCTGGCAACTCAGGCTCCTGCAAATAAACACACAAGAGAAAATTAATGGGGGTGGCCAAAGGATTCTCAGCTCACTTTGTTCCTGTCTCAGAGAGCACAGACGGCTGCGTGGGGACCGAAAGCAGTCCTCTGGGACGGGCGACCTGCATGCTGCACTGCGGCGGAGCAGGTTCGGGTGCTGGACGGAGGGCAGCTCCTCACGTCTCCATTCGCTGCAACAGAAGAACAACCTGGCACGCTCGGACATGCCAGAATCCCTTGAAAAGAGCCGCAGGCAAGCGGGGAAAGGAAGCCTCACCCAGTTATAATCACTCATGGAGAGAGGCCTCTTCCTTCCTGGCCCTCTGAAGAAAGTTAGAAAGGAGACCAGCCAGTTCTCCGCTTCAGCCCTGAAGAGCCCTTGGGAACCCCACTGGTCTGCTGGCCACTTCCACAGGGGGTCTTGTCTGCAGGACACCTCAGCCTCGCGTTCCTTGCACGAGCATCCTCCTCCTGGCCGGCAAGCAGGCTGCAGCATAGTTTATGTATTGCATGTATTTATTTTCTAGTTTTGCATTCAAAGCCAGCCATTTACCCCTTGGGTGGCTTCCCTAATCCTTCCTTTTGTCCTCACGACAGCCCCGAGAAGTCAGTTAGGCTCAGAGGCAGCACCGGGCCCAGAGTCACCCAGTGAGCTTCATGGCCAAGTGGGGACTAGAGCGTGGGTCTCCTACACCCCAGTCGGACAGCATAACCACTGTGCCACATGGACTCTCAGGAAGATGTTCAGATTGCATCAGATCTGTGAATCACGGCAGGGTTCAGAGTGAGGAAGCCCCATGAGCTGCTGCCACCGCTCCAGTGTGAAGGACTCACGGGGAGGAGGTGTGGCACTTGGGCTGGAGTCCCTCACCACCACCACCACCCGCAACAGACGCTTGGTGGCACTGGCTGGACATGAACTTTTAGCTGGCTTCTGGCCGCTCAGTGAACAGTTCCCCTTGTGCGTGGCTGCCTGCGTTCTGCCTTCCTGCAGAGGCATCCTGCTTCCGGCCTCTCTCACTCAGCCAGGCTCCCTGCTGCCTGTGCCTGCCTTAGCCCTTCAGTTCTCCCCACTCCTAGGCAGATTTTACAGTCCTGCCCTCTACCTAGCCTGGCTTTAAGGCTGGATCAGGCTTGCCACAAAACCTTCCTTTCTCAGTGGTTCTTGGGCATAGTCTGGTACGTTCAGAGATCTTTTCCTGGCATGGCACAGCAGTCTTGTCTCTGATCCTGCCCAGATTTGCAATGTCTTGGCTATTTGCAATGCACACACCAACCGGCCACTGACGATTTGCAGCTCAACCTGGGCTGTTCTGTGTGTAAGCTGACAATATAGCACACTTCCCCAACTGGGTGCCCACTGGAACTTTTGCACATCAGTGTTCATCAGTACCAGAGAGCATAGCTAACTGGTTGGGAGTACTGGGGGTTACACCCCAAACATCTGGATGGCATAAGCCTGGGAGAGGCTTCAATACCCTCCTGCTGGCTGAGACAGATGATCCAGAGTGTGGCACAGCTAATAGTAGCTGTGGCTGCTGCAGTGTGGGGCCATGGCAAATCACTGATCTATTCAGTGGGCGCCTCAGTAACAATTTGGGAGCGACTGCAAATGTTGTGGAGAGTGGGAGGTCTGTCATTCAAACAGGGAGAGCACAATCCTATGGCGATGCCCCAAAACCCTCAAACCTGGAGGGTCCAGTGCAGAGAGAGGAGATGCCAAGACCCTCTCTGTCTTCCCACACAGGTGTTTTTGTCCATCTTGCTGGAGAAGGAAAGAAGGAGGGAGGCAGTGCCAGGGCATTCATTCACCAGTTTTCCTGCTTGCAGCTGGTGGAATTGTTTCTATACTATCTGGGAAGGGGAATGGGTGGAGGATTGGAGCCCTGGTTCCCAACACTGTCTTCAGCCTTGGAGATGGGCCTCTGAATGTTCTCTAAGCCTCCCACGTTCTCTAAGCTGTTGTGCACAGATTTAAAAAATCCCATTCCCATGTCACAAATGAGCTTAGACAGCCATGTTGTGGCTTAATAGGCTCAGACACAAGTGGATTTTTTTTTGCAAAAAAGGCAGTCCCTTAACCTCAGGTGCCCAACCAACGAGCCTGAGAATACTTTCCTTGGCACCTACCAGGCTTCTTTTTTTTCCTTCTTTTCCTTCATTTACTAAGATGGCTTTATTAGATTTTAAAACTGGGGGGCTACAAAGTGGAGTTCCCTCTTCCAGTGCCATCTTTTTTGGGCTCAAATAAGTGTCTTTGTGCTTTAGACTTTGATTCCTGGCCTAGTTACTTTTCTTTTAACCTTGCTCACATGCCACCATGGTAGCCGTTCTATAAATGGCAATGCATTTGCACTGCAACCATTTTGTGTCAGAGCCCACGGCATTCTAAATTCTAAATGTGCACATCAATCCGACAAGGCTGGGGCCACTTGGTCCTACCCCTTGACTTCTTCCCTATGTGCTCTCCCGACCCTTGCGATCTGAGGCAGAGGCCCTTCTTCGGGAGCCCTCCCTGAAAGAGATTAGGAAGGTGGCTGCCCAGAGGAGGTCCTTCTCTTCTCCTGAATGGATTTTTGGCATTAAAGAAAGGGACTGAAAATTCAGCAAGGAGACACGGAAGGGTCACACAATACCCATATATGACCTTTGCTAGAATCCCATGAGACAGGGCAAGTGTGCCACAGACGCCATGCCTGGAAGCAGATGTTTACAAGGGAGCTTAAGACTGTGCTCCTACAAGCAATAGGAAAGCTGTGTGACTTCGCATACCTGCTCTGATATATAACAAGGTCCTTCAGCTTTTGGAAAAACAAGTGCTTGTTCACGCACTACAATGAGTTGGACAAAGCCTAGGGCAGATTCATCACATTGCAATGCAGTTCTGCTTTCTTCCTTGACCTTCCCATGGATTGCACCTTCTTGAAGATGAATATACTCAACTACTTTAATCTAGCACTGAAGCTGCAGCTGTGGCACTCAGTCTTGTATATGTCAGAAACACAAATTCATACTGGGTTTACTGCCTCCTGGCAAAATTCTGAAATCTTGATAAGAGCCACAGGAAGGTACACTTACAAGTTTGGTTAAAAGGGTTATTGATAGTGGGTTCATTAGGGCCCAGCATGTCAAAATCGTCAGCACGTTCAGTTTCTGGAAAACTGCACGGTTCCTGTGTCTTCTCTGAAGTGATAGCAAAACTCTGAAGAACATGAGTACAGCATGAACATATAGGGTTGTATTCAACATTGGCTGAATGCCACCAGACTGGAAACCACTGGCAGAAAGATTGGAAAGAGGAATCTTTCCTCTTGCAGCCCTCTTGCAAAACTGGCCCTCTGGCACAGATGTGGGGAGGAGGAGAAAATGCTGGACTGCAAGGGGAAGTTGGATTTAACTTCATGGCCAATTCTTCATGTCTTCCACTTAAAATGCTGGATGCCACATGCCATTTAGCAACATACAGAGGCTGCAACCAAAAGAAGTAGGTTTCAGATATAAATAATTATACTTACTTAAAATATGAGAATATGCCAAGGGAGATCAAAAGTGAAACAATTGAAAGACTGTGGCCAATGATAGTAAGATAATATAAATTCAGAGCTGTCTGCAATAAAACAAAGGAAAAAAGATGTCTCAGTATTGCAAACTAAGTACAAAGTAAGTTCTGTCCCAAAGGTATTCCATGTAAGATAAGATTAGCCAAACAGATTAGCATGTTAGCCATGGTGCATTAGCAAGAATTCAGCTTGTTACTGTGACTGCCCACACTAGCCTTTCCTAATATGGCACCCTCTAGATGGCTTGGACTGCAATTCACATCACGGCCAATGGTCAGCGATGCTGGGAGTCACAACCCAAAACATTTGGAAAGCACCAGGTTGGGAGGACCTGGCCTACACACTCATGAGCCCACCTAGGCTCTAAATTTGGCCTCAGAGACACTGTTCTTTGGCCCACCATTAACAACAACCAGAGGCAAGGTATTTCCAATGATGGATCTACATCTTTGGAATCCCCTTCCCAAAGATCATCACTTCAGAGGGAACTTTTTGCTCAGGTGTGTATGTAGCTTCCAGAGCTCTGAGCGATTTGTTGCTGGGTTTGCATTTGTTTTATTTTGCTTATACATTGCCTATAATAGAAGTACATTGTACAATAAAATAAATTCAGTCAGATCTCAGTGGACTTGAGGGGTTTCCCTTCCAGATATTATTGAACTATCTACCCATCCATCCATTCATCCCATTTTGCTTCAAGGGTTGGCTTACAAATACTGAATCTGTACATAAAATACAATCAATAAAATAGATAAAAGCAATAAAATTAAAACATTAAAATGTATCACAATATAATAAAATTATACAAACCCATATATAAGACATCTCCAAATATAACTAAATAAGTTAAAACAATGAAAAATTAAATAGATAATCATCAACAAAATACAATTTTGATTAATCAAATGCTTGCCAGAACAAAATCATTTTTACCTGGTGCCTGAAAGAAAGCAAAGGCAGTGCCAACCACATGTCTCTGGGGAACTATGACACTCATTACCCCTTGCCATTGCTCAGGATGGCTATGGATAATGGGAGTTGGAGCCCAACATCTGAGCAGACATAGGTTTCCCCATCCTGCCATGAAGCGCCAACAGAAGTCCTATTAATTTGGTGTTCGGCTTTGCTCATTTACAGAGTGCCCACTCTGAAGCCAATAAAGCCACTTCATATGTTGAAAATTGCAAGTATTACTTGCAAGAGGAAGAGAGGAAGAGGAAGAAATCTCTCCTGTTATGGTTTAACACTCATTTACTTTTTTGAACACATTTATGCATTCAGCTTGATTCATTTCATGCTGGGCATATTACACACACCCAGCAAATGAGCGTGCTTCTGAAAGTGCTTTTATAAAATCCATGTGTGTTGTGGGCGGATGCTAGGCAGCATATGAAAGAAATCTAAAAAAACCCTGCAACTGACACAGTGAAACGCTGGTTTTCCATCAGCGTTTCTTTCAAGACAAGGAGAAGGAAACAAATTCTAATGTACATACAATTGTGATTATCTGACAGACATTACAGATACCAGAATATATTTCGGAAAGCAACGTGCTGGCATCGCGCTTGTCTTCCATTCATTCTGTCAGTCAGTTCTGTCTCAGGACCACACTGGCTGAGTGGCAGAGAACAGTTGGAGGGCTCCACCGTGGGTGGGTGTTTGTGCTAAGATCTCATGCCTGCTCGTACCCCTGGCTCCAGTTTTGGACGGTGCTGCATCACAGACAAGTACAATGCCACTGAGGGCTCTTTCTGCCCCTCGTCTGGGAAGCCGAGCTGTCTCCCAGGATCAATCAGTTCGGGTCAAAAATGCACAGTGGAGAGTCTGAAATGGGTTCTACCTCAGGGAGGCCCTGAATGTGAAACACACAGGAGAATGTATGCTGGTTCCCATCTTGCTTTCCTTCGCAAGAGGCCTGTATGTTACTCAGGGATCCTTAGCAGCTAGCAGGTTAAATCAGTTCCCCTCCCACCAATCTGGATAGAAGCCACTGACTGATCGAGGCCCATCTTAATTGACCTTGAAAAATCTGAGACCAAATGCACTGTAATTCAATAGGGACTTAGAGGGCCTCAAGCTCTCATTAAACTGAATGTGCTTCAAACAAATGTTAGTTGGCCACGCTCCACTCAGAGACAGCTTGAAGATTAGGCTGCCAGTGGAGGGAAGACTTGCATGTTCGTTGGCAGCTTTCTTCCTTCGACCTTTGTCTACAGTTCCTGGCTTCTTGCTGATCGTTCCTTCTCATCTAATGTTTCTGGAAGCACAAAGGCCCAGTGACATAAGCTCTGCTCTCTTGACATGTCCAGGTTGTGTGAACCCACAGGGAAGGGGAAAGTACGGGTTGTATCCAACTGTGTTATTCCATCATGGAAGAAATCTGTTGGCAGAACTGATTTCCTCCTTCTCCCTATAGCTTCCCACTCCCAGGGAATGTTGGGCCCACCACTGGGATACACTAAAGGGGCTGCAAGGGGGCAGAGAGAATGGAAAAGTCTTGTCACAAGAGCAGAAGTCCCACTACTGAAGTGGACTTTAGCTCACATAAGGCTTGGATTCAACCCCATGACATTCAATTGAAAGTCTAGTGGAGTATATTCAATCATATGTCACCAAAGAGAAGGTCAACACAAGCATCAAAGAGATATGTCAGGCTGGGCAGTAGGCTGGACCACCTGGTCAACCGGGCCCCTCTTTCCTCCCCGTTCTGGCTCCATGTTTCCAACCACTCCCTCCCTCAGTGTAGGCACTGAAGTATTGAGGTAAGGCAACCTAAGTGGGCCCCCTCCCTTGGTTAAGTCCCTTCTCACTACTATTGTTACCAGCTGTTGTAGCTCCTCCACTTCTTTCTCACCAGGGTTACCACTCGCTTGCTTAAGAAGCAGAGAGTCAAGGAGAAGGAGGCCATGGCACCCAGTGCTGCTGCTTCTCGCCAGCGTTTTGCTGTAGGCCAGAGGAAAGGGCAGGGGAGCAAGCGGGTTGCAAGCATGGTGAAGAGGAGGAGTAGGACCCAAGGGCTCGTCAGTGATCCTCCGCTGGGCTGTGGGCCTTTGGAGGTCTTGACACTGGCCCTGCTTCTTCTCTCTCTTGGCTTCTCAGGATTTTCAAGAGGGTTTCCAGCAGAAAACTAACCATTTCAACTCAAGTGCAAAAGCCACAGCATCTTTTTGGGAGAAGCGGGGAGAGGAGGGGGTTGGCTCCTCCCCAGTATTTTGGGAAACATTCCAGCTTTGCTGGGATAAATCTGAGAACAGGAATCACAAAAAGACAGATGCAAAGATCAGTGTGCTCCTAACATGTTTTCAAGATGTTTAGCAAAGAAAAATGCCCATATTTGCTAACAGTATGATCCTCCAGCTTACATGATTACTCAGAGATAACTTTCATCAAGTTTGATGAAGTTCACTCCCAGGTAATGTATCGCCTAAATGCATGTAAACTCCACTGAAATACAAATGGCATAGCAATGAAACATGAACATTGCATATGTGAAGGCGGACTCATGGGTCTCATAGCATTTTTCAGATAGCATCCATTTTCCAACCTACCTGCAGTTTAGACTTTACTCCTGCATTACAAAGCGTGTAGTTTGTCCATGTTCTGTTACTGTCAGGGTGAACAAACCAGTGACCATTTTCTTCACAGACCTTGAAAGCTTTTTCTTGTTGAAGATAAAAAACACACATCTGTCAGTACTGAACAAATTAATAATAATAAAAAAACCCATCCAGACCGGGTCATATAAAACCTAGTCCTTACTCTCTGTCTGTCTTCCTTGGAAATCAAATGTGAAAATATTACTTATGGCTCCATGCTGTTCATTCACACTGAATGAGAGAACATGTATTAAAACAGAATTTACATCTACAGCGGTGCATGCTGGATTATGATCAACGCAACTTTTTAAAGAAAATGGAGCTCTCCATAGTGGTGACAATGGTTGTCCATGAAATTCTATTCCAAGTATCAATTCCATTGCCTGCACTGGAACAGGCTGTTTGTTAAGGGATTTCGATTCCTTTACTTTCGCTTCTTCCTTAACATTCTGTACTCCCCACCTTGGCACTCTCGCTTGTAGAAATTCCCTTTATCGCTGTGCTAATTTGTATTACCCTCCTCTCAGAATGTCTCTCTGTGCATGCGGCCATGTACATTCCATACCCCTTCCCTGTCTTTTTCATAACGCATCATTCTTTGAATGCAAAGGTTGCCAAACTCCATTAAAAGTGCATTTTCTCAGACAGTGGTAGGGTGGAAAACAACTGCATAAGACACCTAATTAGACCATGAACAAAAATACTATTTAGGGGTACAGCTAGGAATTGCAAAATACTCAAAGTTTCTGCTGTTGAAGAACAAAGCCACTAAAGTGACCAACTTCTTCAGTGCTGGACTTGCTGCAAAGAAAAATTCAAGGAAAATGATGCTAACTTCTGTACTCCCATCCCCCTGTTTGCATAAATAGCATTTTTTATGATCATGGCTGTATAAGCAAAGTTTTAAAATGCCTTAAATCACTATGGTTTACAAGAGATTTACAGGTTACCATGCTGGTAATAGTTGATGTGTTTTCCTCTCCAAATGTACACAGGATTGTACCCTTAGTGAGGTTACTTATCAATATTGTAGCTCTCTAGCATCAACTCTTTAGGTTGCAAAATAATGTTCAGAAGTATGAAGGGCATCGCATTTTCATAATTTAACACAATTTCCAAGCAGGTTGCGAGCTACACCCCGCATGCTTTGCAGTTCCTGTTCTGTCACCACATCACCATGTCTGAAATACGCATACTGTTTGCATCCTTCCAGTGGATACAGCCTTGAAGTGTCCCTGTATATAAATTGATGGTGATGTGGAGGAACGGGAAGCGCATTCTGCTTGCATCTTCTGCTATTCTGTGTTGCAGTGATAGCCAAAGTTGGTCCACATCTTGTCCTACCTACACATCTTCACATAACATGGAAGCATCCTCCCCAAATCCACCTTCCCCAGGGGCTTCCTGAGGACGACCTTCATTGTCCATAAAGAAATCAAGATGGAGGTGTACCTGAGGGGTCAAAGTCTTGGAAGTAATCTGGGCAGTTCTGTACTGATGTCTGTCCCACGGCAATATCGTCCCAGCACAACCAACCATCCCACGTTCTGTTGCAATGAGGCACTAGGAAGGTTGAAGAGAGGAGAGGCAGTAAAGTTGGTGCTCCTAATTTACCATGGTTTGGACAGTCATGGATCCCTCCCTTCCTTTGATGGAAAACTCCCGACGGAAACCACCACCACTCTGTACACATCATTCCATCTGACTTTCAACTGTATATCCCGCAGTTTACTACCTATAAAAGAGCTTGAGAACTTGAGATTTGGTCACACTCCAGAGCAGTGCATCCTCATGTTACATCCTAGTAAAACAAAGGCTCAGAATGCAGGAAGAGGCTAAGCCAAGGAAGGGAAAGATTTATGCAGATAAGGGCAAGCTTAATTCTCAGTGGCTCCCAGTATGATGGGGAAAAAGAATTTGCTCAGTCCCATTCCTTCGTTGTTCCTTTGTTTTGCTCTAGGCTAAATGATATCCCATGCCGTCAAAATTCTAACTGAATTAGGAACATTTCTAAAACTCATTCTGGAATTGGACCATGCACAGGTTGCCATAGTTGTTAGTTCCTTGAATTCACTTGACTCTTTCTCCCCATTCCTTCTCTGTATTACCAACATCCAAGTGTGTGTTCCTAAAATATACCGGTATAAGCCACGGTAAAAAGTAGCAGCCCCCTCCCGCCCTCCCTCCCGCCCTCCCTCTGGTGATGCTTTGGAGGCCCTCCCTCCCTACCCTTCTGCTTCCTCTCTCTCTCAGCTTTGAACAGAGGGCTGTGTACAAGTTTTGGTACAGAGTTTTGAAATGTGAAGGTTTGCATTGCCTGAAATCAGAAGATGGTGTTAGGAGAGATGACCTTCACCCATATTTCCTTTCCTTTAAGATAGGAAGGAACACCCTCCAAAGATCTGGGATCTATTTCCCCACTTAGAACTTCACTTGGGCTCACTGCCCATGGTGCAGCCCACCCTACAAGTGCTGAGGCAGTCGGACACTAAACGTCAGTGCCACAATTGTCGGTTTCATTCCATAATGCCCAAGAATTCTGGAAAGTTGTTTCCAAGCTAAATTTAACAATTAACTATTCCATAGTCTAACAGATGTCGGTGCTTGGTAGCCACTACTGGCTTTTAAAAACAAAATCTGTATGATTGGTGGGGGGACACCAGGGAAGGAAGAGACTGCATACGGCTGCAGGCCACATGTTACTGACCCCTGCTAAGATGGTTTAGCTACATCACTCCAACAGCCTGAATGTTGCACACCTATCAGAGGAAAAATAAAAGAACCAAACAAGGGAAACTCATTCAAACCCCCTATTCAGCATTTGCTCTGTGGCCAAAGCCAGTGTATTAGATTGTGCTGCCTGATGCATTAAATCAGGAGGAAGGTACTTGTGGCCCACCAGATGCTGCGGAACTCCAGCTTGGCCAGCGGATGGGAGCTGGAGTCCAACAGCTTCTAGAGGGCCACAACTACCCTGGCCCTGAATTAGATCTTTGAAAACCCATTCCACACTGAAGTAGATCATCCTGCAAGTCTCTGAGGGTTTGCTGCTACAGCCTAAATGAGATTGTCCTTCAGAAAATCAGCCACATTTATATGGCCAATACAGACCATCAAAATTTTAATCCACTGCTTGCACAACAGAATTGATGAGATGGAAGGGAAACAGTGAAGAGGAAAGCACCACGTTGGAATGTGGGGCCCTTGATTGCTTTTCCCGGCTCTAAGGTACCCCTCAAAAATCAAGATGTGCCAAGATGTACCCCAAACCATTGTCACCATCAATATATCACATTCCAAAAGCAGCGAATGAAGCCCCAGAATGGACCAAGCTGGAAGCACTGCATGCCAGATTGTGCCCCAAACCAGTCCAGCTCGCCCCGTGAAACCTTCAGTTGTCAGCGGAGAGCATACAAGAGGAACTGTCTCAAACCATCCATGGATGGGTGCCATGGCGGAAATGGACCCTCTGAACTCTCCCACGGGTGAGGGGCACAGCCACTAGAAGGGCCTTGCTTGAAGAGCACCGGGCGGGCCAGGCTAGGCTCCTTAGCTGAAGAGGTTCCCTTTGATATGCAGGAGTCCAAAGCTGTACAGAGCTAAAACCAGTCAGCGCTGGGCATCCATCCTATCGGCAACCAGTGCAAGCAAGTCAGGATCGGAGAAATCTGCTCACTTTCACTTGCAACATGTGAATGGTTTCCAGAGGATGCTTAATGGACAGCACATTTCAGTGGTTCATGACAAGTGGTCCTTGCGTGAATGATGGCCCCGTGCATTCATGGAGGCTGGTTTTGTGAGAAAAAAGCCTTCCATGAGAAATCTGCTTCCGTGCACATCCGATCAGGATTGATCCAATTTTCACCCCAGGAAAGGAGCATGGCTTTGAATACAATTTGTGGTTGGAGTCTGCACATTTCCGAGCTTGCAATGTGATTCAGAGAACTAAAAATGTGTTTGACAGCATTTATACTTTTGAAAAATGTGCACAAACATGTTTGAAGCAAAAGAATGCCTGTATTTCAGAGGTGTGCACAATAGATGCATACATTTGCTGGCAAAAAAAATGATATATTAGACTGTAATCTAATATAGATTGTAATCTATATTAGATTGTAATCTAATATAGATATGAGACAGAATGAGTTTTCAGAGAGAATTTGGAGAACTTCAAAAAGCTCAGGTTTTGCTTGGAAACACATCCCCATTTGGAACATTAATTTTTTTACCTTCATTATCATTTGGAGTTTGCATAATTTTCTGGTAACATTCATACTGTGCTGTCATGATTTTATTCAGAGTTACGCCTAGTGAATGGTGATCTGCCATTGGAAAATCTTCATTGGTCATGTTGTTTTGTATTTGCTCTGGAATTGCTGTGACAAACACCTGAACAAAAAATATCAGATACTGCAATGACTACTTGATGATTAATTGGCTAGATTAATTAATGTACAGAATTTTCATTTAATAGAAAAATTGTCTTCCAACTAAATGGGCAGCAGAACTTTGAAGAAGTCATTCATTTCGAAAGGAGCAACTGGCACAATCACTAACACTTGTCATCATCTTAGACATTATTTATTGATTTGATAAATTATTATTTTATTACCATTATTGCATTATGTTTCTATACTGCCCATAGCTGAAACTCTCTGGGTTTTCTCAACATTTTAAGTCACCCATCCACATTTTAACCAGGCCTGACCCTGCTTAGCTTCCAAGGTTAAGCAGGATCGGGCACTTCAGAATTTATGTAAATGACATTAAATTCATGTCTCACCTTTCCAATAAAATAGCACTGAAAGGGCCTAACAATTAAAGTACAGATACTTATGATTAAAACATAAAAACACATCAATAAAATACATTGATTAAAAGCAATTCTTCTCCTCATTTGCCCTACATAGGTAATAGGTGCTGTGGCCCCTGCCTGGGTCACCTCAAGCAGAATGGAAGGTTTTTTGCTCCTACACAGATTTAATCCATGAACAGTGGTGTCCTGTGAATGTTATATTCCAAAGTCCTTGTGCTCTGTTCAATGTGATTCATACCCAGGAAAGAATCTACAGAGTTGTAGCCTCTATTGTTAAAAGTCCTGCAAGTGATTGATTATGAATTCTTTAAGCAGGTTACCTTGTGACGGAATTATTCCCCACTGCTGTGAATGTTAGATCATGCTGCTAGCACAGTGTGTAAATTGAAACTGACTTTTAAGGAAAGAATGATTTCACCAAAATCAATTTATTTGGTCTAGTTACAAGCACTTTATTTTCAAAATGTCGTGCCATTCATATGGAGGGTGAGATACAGACTCTTCTCCTTCCTTTTTTACAGGAGGTTTGACTTTGACATAATCATGGCTAGACTGTCTTTAGATATGGCCACTCTAAAATGTGATATTGCTTTGCTCCCAACCGAAAGGTTTTCAACCAAGAAGTAGACATATACTAGTAAAATGCTGAGAACAAGGGAAAGCCCCCTCCCCAAGATATGACTAACATCCTTAATTTGGCCTCAATTCTCTAAGTCCAATAAAACTCAGTTAGGCTCACTTTCCAGCAGACATGTATTATGGAACTATTCACCAATTTCTATTGCCTGTTGCTCAGGGACCACAATCCCCCAACAGTCCAAATGTTCTGCATGCAAAAGGTCCCAGGTTCAATCCAGGGAGGCATTTTCAGTTAAAGGGATCAACGAGCCTTTAAAGTGGGGAGGGAGGGGAATGCGGGTGCCTTCGGCACGAGTACCTGGCAATCCACTGCCATGTAGAGTCAAGACTGTGGAGCTAAGTGAAGAAGAATGAAAGAAGAGCCTGTGGAACCAGGCCAAGGGTCCATCTGTTCTGCTCATGGAGTGGCCAAGTAGCTACTTGCAGGAAGCCCACAAGCAGTAGCACCTGCTGTAGCTATAAGAAGCTTCTGGGTTGTAATGAAAGCTAACATGCCATGAAGAAGTGATTTTGGGGGCCAGACAACAGCTTATGTAGGTGGATCTGTAGATGGATTTCTTTTCTTTAGGACAAGAGGTCATGATCAATGCTGTTGGAGGCATTTCACCCAATATATTCTGAAACAAAATACTGCCTTCTCCAACATTCTCTTTGCCTGTTGGAGGGCAGGGGCTGTGCTGGAGAGCAAAGGCAGAAACGTGGCAGAGATAGCAGGAAGAAGGGTGTAAGTGAGCAGAATGGTAGGGATAGTGTATGGCATCACACACATATCCTACAGAATCAGCTGCATAAAGGAAGCCAGGAAGTGGCCTCATACGACATCAGGCTATTAGATCATCTACCCTAGTGATGCCTACACTGATTGGCAGTGGCTCTCCAGGATTTTAGGCAGGCAGCTCATTCCTGCCCTGTTTGGAGATGTCATGGATTGAACCAGGGTCCTTACACAAAGATGGCATGTGTCTGGACTGCCTCGCCTGCTGTTTGACACCCCCCCCCATAAGACTAGGTGGATTGGTTGACCCTTGTGACCTGTGCAGAAATGAGATGGGCAGCACATACCCCAAAGTGATGAAGCACATCATTTGTCTCTCTTCATGTCTCTCTCTGCTCTTATCGTACTAGCTGAGTAGCTCCAGAGGGACATGTGCGCTAGGTGGTGGGGGGGAAACTTACCGAGGAAATGGCGAGCAGGAGCAGCAGCTGTATGATCCAAGAGGTCTCCATCGTGAAATCCATGCAATGTAATTTTGTGCTAAAGATCAGCAAGATGAAACTGAAATGAGAAAGAAAGAAAATATTTTTAAAAATAGACCCACTGACCTGGGAGAAAATGTAGATAATATTGTTGGCTACATGAACCTGTTTAAGAACATTCATGATAGTATCATGTTAGGCAGGACAGTGACAAAATTACCTGAGTCACCACAGCCAGAAGAAAAAGAAGCATGGAAACTGTTCAAAAGTGGGAGGATAATGAAACATGAATATATTCATGAGGGCTGAAATGGGACGCATGTTTTGTTGTTCATGAAAGCTAAGATGCAATGAGGAAGTGCTTTCAGGCAAGCTCTACTAATATGTACATAAACTTCCCATAAAAACCTATAAGGCCAAGGAACACAAAGGCAAACACAGTGGGATAATTCACTCAGATATTTCATTTTTTCTAGCCTAGGCTGGATGATTTGGTAAAGATAACTAGCCCTTTCCTGCTTTAATTGCAACCATTGATCCCTGGAGCTTCTCTAAGGCACATACTTCTCAATTATAGATGGAAAAAGGCAGGCTTGCAATCACTCGTGAGATAAAGAAATGTCATACATATTAGTTCATATTATAGATTAAAAATAATTAACTTAGACACTTAACCAACAACTACAAGAATAAGTAAACAAAACATCCACCAATTCATCCCGGCCTGCAAACCACTAGTTAAGTAGGTGATGCCCATCATTTACTGGAAAAGTCCTCTGTCACAAAAAGTTCTGCTGCTCATATTGACTCTTCTACTTTTTGATGTTTTGGCTAGTTGGCTGCTCCTTCTTCTCCTTCCCCTTTATCCTCCTTCAGACTGACTTTCAGAGTATGCCAAACTCTTTCACTGCGTCTCCCCTTCTACTCTAAACTATCAACAGCCATCTTTGTTCCTTTGCTCTTCTCCAATATTTTTCTTTGTTCTTCCCTTCCCATGCTCTGAAGTCCACAATAGCACAGGAGACACCATTGCACATTTCCTAGAGTGGACAGCACACCAAGCTCTTTGGTTTGCTCACAGGTGATCTATATGAAGGAGGAAACCATTCGATGGTTGCTATTAGCTTCTCAAAAAATGACTTCACAGACACATTTCTTGAAAGCAGTTAACCACAACGGCTACATGGAACTTTCAGCAGGCCATTGAATAGTATAAGGATGCAATGGAAAAAGTATTTATTTCATGTTATTTTCACATTCACATTTATTTAGTTTTTCCTCGATTTTAATTCCCTACAGTTGACTTGCCCTTTCTTTTAAAATTGAGATTCATGTGGCTTCTAAAGGTGGTGTTTTCTTTTCAGACTCACAAGCACTGCACTATTCTCCCCACAATGTCATCCTAATTTCATGCAGATAACACCAAAGCAAGGGTCCAAATTGAAAACAAGTACTGAAATAAACAGGAGGGCCTTCATTTCCCAGTCCTCCTTGCTTCTATCCCAGGAATATCCGGCTGGCCATGACTGCTGTCTGATCTGCAGCAGAGCTAAAGAAGAGGCACCCTGTGATGGTGAAAAGGAGGCATGTGTTCTGGGAATCATGTCAGTAGCTGCTGCTGGGATGCGGACCCCTGGCAAGTGCCCAGCCATGCCTGTCCTTGATGCTGGGCCTGTGCTTCCACCTTGTTATAGTGACCATTTATTTTAGCTTGACTTTTAAACCAGTTCTACATTATGGCAAGCTAAATGCCTACATGTACAGTTATGTCTAGACTCATTTCCCCATGTGCTCCACTCCCTGTAATCTTCAGACTTTTTTTTTCTCCAACAGTTATGACCTACAAGATAGATTTATGACAGTAAACAAACAATGGACTCCATGGATACTATTTCCGACAAGCACAACTCTTTCTTTCTTTTTTTTAAGCAGGCATGACAACATTCTCACCAGACTGGAGTTGGAATGTGAAGTGTGGTACCTGATCCTGTGCATGTTTATTTAAAGGTAAGTGCCATTAACCCTAATGGGGCTTATGCCCAGTGAGCACATAAAAGATTATACTAATTTTATTGTCTACAGAGCTGCCTGTCAAGTGTATGTACTTCTCACAATTCTTTATGAAGATTTATTAACTGACTTGGACTACACCGAGATTCGAGCTGTTAATAAAGTTCAAAGAGAAAAAGCACGAGTAAAACATGTGGGCATTTATTTGACCCAACATGTGAATCCGTTTCTTGAAATTTCTTACCACTGATTGTAGAAACATGGGAAAATGCATTTCTTACAATTCAGTTTTAACATGTTCAATAATTATTCAGCAGGATAGAGATTCCTTCATACTGGTTTGCTGTGCAAATTTGAGATGGAAATCGGCACTAAATAGTTTGGCTTAAATCCCACTGAAGAGTGAAGTATGTGTGCAGAACTGAGACCTTCATTTGATATATCAGCTCTGATTCTGATTGACACCACCCGGCTTATTGGGCAATAACCAACATTTTCACCCCTCTCAGGTTACTGATGTAGCAACAGGGTAAGCATTTAGCTACAAGCCAAAAAAGTTATGTTGGTAAGTTGCTTTTTCCAGGGAAACACGTCATAGAGGCATCAGCTTTAGTCATCATGCTAAAGGTTGGCTCTGTTAGCACCAGGTCAATGGCAGAAGCTGAATGGCTTCTGGAGACTGGACTCTGCTTATTATTTGTGTTTCCAACAATGCAAATGTTGGAATATTTACCACTGAGATATTTTCTTTTTCAGAAATCCTCTAAAATGAACCTAGGCTGATAGGGAAGAAATATGCCTGTTATACAAAGAAGAAAGGGTGGCAGCTTTGTGCACTGTAATGTGCTAGTGTCTATGGAAATATTAGATGCAATGAGGCTGAATGAATGGGGCTGGAATCCTATACAAACCTACCTAGAAGGAAGCTGCAAAGGGGATTGGATTGCATTGTAAAGTCTCTCTCTCTCTCTCTCTCTCTCTCTCTCTCTCTCTCTCTCTCTCTCTGGCTTAGCCTTTCTTCTGAATATGTTAAAGGTCCATGGGGAAAGCTTAGGATTGTGCTTCAAAGCAGCCTTTCCTCTGCAAGGGCTGAACCCGTCTTTTTAAGAAAAAAATTAATAAAAGTGGAGAGGAGGTACAACTCCATTTTCCAGTGATAAATCGCCATAGAACAGCACATTGCCACCTTCTTGCAGAAAAGAAAGTGACTGCTGTCCAGCACAGGCTTGCCTTTTCTCCAAAAGTGGGACTTGATAAGAAATTATAAGAGAAATGGGAAAAGATTTGGAGGAGAAGCTTGCAAGTGGATATGGCAAACTGTGACGAGCCAATTTCCAAACAGGGACATTATTCGAGATAATATTGAATGTTCAGCCAATGACCTCCTGATTACCACACACATTAGAAGCTTAAATTGTATACAAAATTCCTAGATGCTTTGTGATTGTAATCCTAAATCAAGTTACCTGTAAATAAATGCTAATAAATTCAATGGGTCTTATATTCAAGTAGGTATGTATAACACTGCGCTATAAGGTTGTGTCACCAAGGGTGATTTTTGGGAAACCTGTGAATCGTCCACTGCCAAATTCAGTGGCAACTTTGCTGTGGGAATGGGCCAAGGGACACTTATAATATGCTAAAATATCTCCACTGTGTGAAATACCTCTTTTGAAAGACACTTGTCTGAAATCACAGAGAGTAGGAGTTTGAAATGTATTAATCTGTATCTAAGATTTGAATTGCTCAACACTGGAAAAAATCATTTGCCCTCATTTGATTTCTACTTGACTATAGGGACATACATAAGAACATACACAGAAAAGTACAGCCATGCTAACTGAAAACAAAGGAGTGAAAAAATGTTAGATTTTGAAGAATATGTATACTTCTGGCATACAGTTGAATGTAGCAATGAACATTTTGTTTGGATTAGTGTTGTGAGTTTGCTTTTGTGTTATTTATTACAAAGGTTGTGCTGACAAAACAATGCATGTGTTTCTCTTTTTTCCTATTCTTCTTAGCCAAGTCACCTCTTTCTCTCAAGGTCTTGCAACATTTCATAGGCAGGGTGTAAGTGACATCCACGGCAGATGGTAGAGGTCAACAAGAGAGGAAGATTTTGTATGCTATCAAAACATTACTGGGACAGCTTGAACACATTTGCTTTTCTTCTTCCTTATACACCAACAGATGTTTTTGCTTTCACTCTTTTCCTTTCCTCCCAGGAGTAACTGCCATCCTGATGAAATGCCAGAAAAAGTCTATGCAATACTAAAGACAGAGTAAGACTCAACTTGCATCATTTGCCATAGCAGCCAAGAAGAAGATAAGCCCAGTGTTTGGGATACTACTACAAATAAAAGAGCTGATTCCTCCTTTACGTTGAGAGCTTGGATACAAAAAACCCCTAGTTTAAACAGGCAAGTAGACTATGGCACACTCTGCCATATTCCTCCATGATAAGAAAGCACTGGGCCACAGCAGTCTCATGCATTAACACTCTAGATCCCCTCCTCAGCCAGAATTGGGTATGGTCATTTTCCAGGTCAAGTAGAAATGGAGATGGGACATAATACAAGGCACTGTAAATGGACCACTGGTTTGCCAAAGTAAAGGACTTCATATAATAACCAGAGTGGGCACAACGGTTTGCCTCTATTTTCATAGGGCTTGATCTAAACTACAGCAATTGCAGTTAGTTCCCAAACAGGTTATGTCATGACACTATTAGGTGCACCTGAATTAAGTGCCACTCCAACCCACATGTTTATATTGGGTTTTGTGGGTAATCCAAACGTGTAGAAATGCTAGTAGAGAACAAACTTGAACTTCCCTGTATCAAAGAAAGTTTCATGAAGGTAAGCCTATCATATACCAATTGTTTCCTACACACATTTCTTCTAAACCAAGGCAGCTACAGCTTGAAACCAGTGAAAAGGGATTAATAGCAATCAGCTTCATTCTCAACCACCAAAACTCAAATAGGAGCCAAAACACTTATTCTCTCACAACTTTCTGTGAACATTTTCCATTGCGCACATATATTAAGATGGAAAATACAAAAAG